CTAATACAATAAAAAATAATTTTGGTCATTTGAAAAAAAAAAAAGAAGCTAAAATAATAAATAAACAGTAGATGAAAAAAACATGAAAATTAGAAATGTTGCCTTGGCAACAAACTGAAATAAGGTTAAGTACTAAAATGACTAAAACAGAGAAAAAATTAAATACTTAAAGCTAAACAGAAATATTTAAAACACTCAAAACTAATAAAAAAAAAGAAAAAGAAAAAAAAAAGCACAATAAAAAAATCCATGTCTTTTGCTGTTATAGCTGTATCTCTTAACGCTCCAGTGTGGCATCTTACCTTCTGACAATACTGTCAGGTAGTGCACAACTCACTAGAAACACATGGACACCAATAAATATTCGCAGTAGCATCAAACACACGCCAACAGGGGAGTACAGCAACAACAGCAGCAGCATGAAGCGATCATTTGGTAACCTGTGGAATGAGATGACAGGAATAGCAACCAGCTTCAGGATCTATTTCTGATAGAAGCCGTTCGCCAGAAACCAACATCTATCTCTCCGTGTCAGAGACCTGAGCAGTGCACACATGTCAACTAATGTTTACTAATTAGTGCTTTATTTCTGCTGTCAAGTCTGAGTTACTCTAGTCTAAGAGATCAGAAAGACAAACCTAAGAAACATGAGTTATGGGAAACCTATTGGTTTTTGTGGGGAAATCAGCTAATATACGTTACGCTAATGCATTCTGATTTTTTTTAGATCAGTTTTTTAATGCAACAGGCCTTACTGTCGACATAACCGGAAATATTAAGACTCTGTGTTATGTAACATTTTAATGAACTATTAACACAGCCAGACTTTTTATATACTGCAACACTCTCATAAACCATATAGTACTATTCTACACGGTCTGATTAGCCTTATGGCAAATATGGTGTATTAAATTACATAAGTGCAAAAGGAATCAGAAAACATTTATGTTTACTATCCATTCTCATATGCATGTATCTGAAGATCATTCAACGTCTCTAATAGATTTTATACGGTTGTGTTTTTGTGAGGTTGAAGTTGGAACATGCTACGGCTAATTACATTAGCTCTGCAACTGTTATCATTTCAAGCTTGAAATGTGAGTAAGTTACCGCTGGAAGTCGAACATCTGCTCAATCCCCCGCGTTTCCATTATGTAAACTCTTTCTGGGATTTCTTCAAAGGCTGCTGCATACTATTCTTCAGACTTGAACGGCAGGTGAGAGAGGGAGATACGCTAGCTCGCCATTAGCCTGTGCTGTTATTCGCCATGTTGAGACGCTGCTGATGTTTCTTGATGGAGAACAAAGAACTTCACGAGAAAAAAAAAAGAGATCAGACACTCCAGAGCTATTTCCGTGTTAGGTCACGTGCTTCACAGCAGCGCATCTGATTGGTCCATAGATGTTGAGGATCGTTTTTTTCTGGCTTTTACGCAACAATTACGAGACACAATAAATATTGGAGAAGCGCAATTATCCACAAATGCAGTTTAAAATAACTATTTATTGTTAGATACAGACAGCAATGTTTTCATTAATACAATGAAACCGATATTCAATACAAATATTAAAAATATTTACCCATATGTGTCTTGATTACTATAAGCGTCTTGATTACTGCAATGTATTTACCATTTCAGTTATAAGCGCTGAGGTAAAAGTCCAGCGTCCTCATGTTCCGAACTTCCGCATTTATTAAATAGTGAAGAGTGGACGAGCTGGTAAGTAAAGCATCTATGTTCCGCTTGAGTTTTCAAAGGACAACTCACCTTTCATATTCATCTTGTTCACTTGCTTTTCCAGGCGCATTTTTTTAGTTAAAGGCTGACATCTTGCGTTATGGAATATGAACTACGATACAGCCTGCCTTCATTAAACTAACACTAAAAAAATCGTTGAACTTAGAACTTATTTACTTTTTATTTTATTAGTATTAAGTCTCTAGTATAGAAGTTTGTTTCCTTCACTGGACAACAAATAATTAATAAAAATTAAAAGGTTCGACTTACTAGCTCACAATTCTGGGTTTCTCACAATTTTGACTTTTTTTATTTTCCCTGTAAGGGAAAAACACCTTTGCATTGTGTACAAAATTCTATAGGCTATTATTTTTGTAAGAAATTAATTTTGTGCAGGAAACACTTGCGGTTTTCAAACACTAGAGGGTACCACATTCCTTCTTAATTCCCAACCGTCATCTTTCCCTTTCTCAAACTCTCAAAACAGAACTGAGGTTGTCATGTTCTGTCAGTTACTCAATTACTTTGTTAGCCCTCCATATAATTTAACAAATTAAAACCATTAAATTAATGAATAAAATAATATGCTTTATTTTTCCTACTTTTTCTCCTTCTAGGTAATAAGTCAGAGTCAGGGTTAGCAAACCACATCTCTCTCATGAACAGCTTGACAGTATATTGACAAAGCAAATAATGCAATTTGTCATATATTGATCCAAGTATACTGCAATGGTAATATACTACGCAATCCAAAAAACTGAAACGTCTGATCTATACGGCTGCCATCTATAATAAAACTCACTATACAAATATAGTCCATTTTTCTCCTCACAAACACACACGCGCGCGC